TTTTCCGCGTAACCTCGAATCAACATTTATTAATTCTTCATAGGAGTGATCGATATTTTATGAAATTCCATTTAATTTTTTTTTCTCAAGATCTTGAAAGTTTTTTTGAGTTTGTTTCTTGAAATTCAGATTTGTTTTATTATAATTTTCAACTTTTTTTGTTAAAATTTCCCTTCCTGAGTTGAGATATCTTGTTGTATCCTATCGAAATTTTCTTGTTTTTCTTGAATTTATTCTGTTGTCTTTTTAAGTAAAAATATGGCGGAGCTCGTGGTTGAACTATGGGAAGTATTGGCTCCTACTTCAACACCTATCAAATAGTTAAACACATAATTCCTTATAGGTGTCAAGCTTTGCGCTCATACAGTGACTGGATTTGAAGAATAATATTTGGGCTATTTTGAATGACGGAATGCCATGAATCACACATTCATGGAGTTACAATTCATTTTTCTTGAGATTTTAATATTGAATTCACTTATTATCCCTATCATCTTCTTAATATTTGACGATGCACTTTTATTTTGCTATCTGACTGTGACAAAATGCAAAATAAATTCGCAAGTGGGGGTCTCTAGAAAAACCTATTCTTGGAAATTTGATTTACCCGTTTTGTTTAAATAACTCAAATTCATCTTGCTTAAGCCAGGTAACCTCTAAAAGTCAATGTAGGTTTGTACCATGAATATTCTAGCAGTGTGTTGAGTGCAAGTGATTAATTCTAATGATCATTAAATCCGGATTTATCTGAAGAAGGTGACTCCTGTTAATTGAACTATGTATTTCTTTTAGCCGGAAGTGAGGTGACTCCTGTTAATTGAACTATGTATTTCTTTTAGCCGGAAGTGAGGTGACTCCTGTTAATTGAACTATGTATTTCTTTTAGCCGGATTGAGGTGACTCCTGTTAATTGAACTATGTATTTCTTTTAGCCGGAAGTGAGGTGACTCCTGTTAATTGAACTATGTATTTCTTTTAACCGGAAGTGAGGTGACTCCTGTTAATTGAACTATGTATTTCTTTTAGCCGGAAGTGAGGTGACTCCTGTTAATTGAACTATGTATTTCTTTTAGCCGGAAGTGAGGTGACTCCTGTTATTTGAACTATGTATTTCTTTTAGCCGGAAGTGATGTGACTCCTGTTAATTGAAATATGTATTTCTTTTAGCCGGAAGTGAGGTGACTCCTGTTAATTGAACTATGTATTTCTTTTAGCCGGAAGTGAGGTGACTCCTGTTAATTGAACTATGTATTTCTTTTAGCCGGAAGTGAGGTGACTCCTGTTAATTGAGATATGCATTTCTTTTAGCCGGAAGTGAGCAGACGTTTGTAATTGGAATTTTTATTTACTTATTCAATTGAGCTACCTTTTGGGTTCAACAAACTCCCATTTACCAGAAAGTTCTGAAATTGCTTAATTTTTTAATTATTTTTTTTCCTCATTTAAAACTTTTAAAATTTAATTTTATTTAATTGTGTGGGTTTTGAGTTTCAGGCCGCCATGAATATGTTATCGAAGACTTGGTGTTAGCATCTTTGACCACGAAACAAACCAGATATCCAATTGAGCAAATGTGAAATAATTGGGAAATTGATTTTTATGATTGTTTTTAAGTTATTTACTTAATGTTATAATCTAGTTCTCTGATAAGCATACATATTATAAATGAAGTAGGGATTTCAAAAAATCTATGAAAACGAAAAAAACTTAATTTGAAATAAAAATAATAAATGAATAATTCCTCATAAATAGCATGTAAAGATAATTCTTATGTTCCATAGAAATTATTTCCAAAATTCACATGTAAGTGGAAAAAATAAAATATGTAAAGAGTTCAACAGATTTCATTAGACCCATACATAATTAATTGCTAAGAGTGTAGAAAAGAAAATCTTTGCAGCTAGCTTCTGGTGAGAAAAATCCCATTTGAGAATGAAATTAGTTCTGTTCATTTTACCAACGCTTTTCAAAATTCTCGAAAATCACACATATTTAAGGAAACTGGCAGATCACACACAATAATAATTCGTACCAAAATATATGCTTTTTCTACAAAGTGAAGACACTTTTTGTATTATTTATATCCAGGGGCATTATGCCAACATTAATACGAAGCTGACACGGCATTACCACCGTCAACATTGTTTTAGTCAAAATTTAATTATTTCTATCTTTAAAAAAAAGTTGTCACTAGTTTTAACTAATTCTACAATTTGTAACCAACTTAACATCAGCACATAGGCTGATCAAGACAGCGGTCTTCTTCTTCTTCTATATCTTAAGGGCCCACGATCAATTTATTGATCATTTTGGCTCCTCCTCATGTAGATGGGATTTGCAATGTTTCTGTTACTGGTGGTGATGAGGAAATTATGCACTAGGGGTTTGAAGGCTTAAGGCAATAGACACAAATGTGTCTAGTGTTGTCGCCTCAACTGTTCCTTTTGAAAGATGGTTCCAGTCCCTGATTGTCTTGGGCAGGAATGAGCAGCTCCTATACTGGCTTCTTGCTGGTATGAGCCTGAATTGCCTGTCATGGCCTCGTCGCTGTCTATGGGGGAGAGGGACGAGTTTCTGTTTAATACTGGAACAGTGGACCAGCCCATTATTTATCTTGTACATCATGGAGAGCCTGGATTGTCGTCGTCGTTTCTCCAATGGTGACCAGCCTAGTGTTTCTAGCATGCTGCCAACACTAGAGGTATTCCTGTAGCGGTTTAGGACAAAGCGTGCTGCTCGTCGCTGGACCGCCTCCAACCTGTCAATGCTCTTCTGGGTAAATGGGTCCCAGACTGAAGATGCATAATCTAAAATCGGACGGATAAAGGCTTTATATGCTCTTTCTTTCACACAGGAGTTGCCAATCTTTAGATTTCTAGTAATATCAAACAAACAAAACATCATTCACTTGAGGAAATAGTTCGAAGAAAAGTTCGATGTTCTAAAACATAAAAGACTGATTACGACAAATCTTACACACTTCAGCAAAGAAACCCAAAATCAGATCGATCAAGGCAAATTCTGTGTATGAAAGTTAGGACCAAAAAATATAGAACTTATTTTGATCCACAGTCAGTATAAATTTACCAGCGCACACCAGATCGGGTATCATATCTCAATGATCATTAATTTAGTCCATATTGTCACTAATGGAATCCCTTTTTGGTTGATTTCTATGACAGAGAAATAATGTAGTTGTTTGATGTTTAGGTGTTACACTTTTAAAATGATTTCTTGATTTAATCATTTTTTTTTAGTTATTGGCTAAAAATGAATATGTCAGATGCGATAATAAAAAAAGCATTTCATAATCTACATTTTTTTTGTGGTAATATGTATTAATTTACCAATTATAACTTTTTTTATTTGATAAATCCTCAAACTGGTGTTCAATACCGTCCATCTATAAATGATGCATTTAGATATAAAATAATTATGTTTCGAAAAAATAATTAACATATATTATAAATCGCAGGCAAAAGAATTGGTGTCTAGAAAGTAGGTCAAATTTATAAATCCGATAACTGCTGTAAATAACTTTTAAAAAAATATATTAAAATAGATTCGGAGTTAAATTGATCATGAAAACTATTGATTAAGACTATTGATTAGTTTATTGGGAAACAATATAAAAATTGAAAAATTATAAAGCAAAAAAAAAAAAAAAGTGTTCAGTCGCATAATATTTGGTCTATGGTTTGAGAATTTTACTAACAAATTAAATTTACAAATTTAAAAAAATAAATAATTGAAATTACCTTTAACGATAGTGAAGTTTTTGTAGTCAATATCTTGTTTAGAGCTTTTTTAAGTTTTACATTTTATTCACCCTTTTAACGACCAGTTGACAAACCACACCAATCTGAACAACATTCAAATTGTGTTGTAATGTCAGACAAAAGCAATTGAGTAAATGTTTAAATTAAAATAATATTACGTTTCTTACGTCCCCAAAAATTCGTAATCGTGCAGAGTCGTCTTCTCCTGTTTGTGGACGCGCAGATGGCTGATGAGACCGATTCTGGCACAAAATGTTCCGTACATGACGTATAAATTATAGACGGGTCCCCTCTACGTCCAGAGTTTACAAAAGCTTTCCTGGATTGACATTGTTTGGTTTTCAGGTGCCATTTTATGTTTGCTTCATTCTGTATGGAGTCTTTGAGCAATGTTGGTCTCATCTTAGCCAATACTTCCCCCGTGTCCTGTTGATATCGAGCGATTTTAGTGACATTTTTAGGTTGTCTTTAAATCATTTCTACTGCGACCAGAAAACTGATTTCCAGAGGAGTAAAATATGTAATTTTCCGATGTTTTTTTTTTAAGTCATAAAGAAAAGTTAAAAATTTAATTTGTCCTTAATGAGTTGTATAACGCTGTAAATTATGACGTACCTATACAAAATTAACGTATTCTAAAATTAAAAAAAAAAAGGTATAAATAAGATTCCAATACAATACACATGATGATAAGTTGACATTATGCGTCTCATCACTTAGGATAATTTTTAAAAATTATACATTGATCGATTTTAAAATAGGCCTATATAGCTATGTGTTTATTAAGAAATATTTTTTGGATTTTTCACAACGTGTGTTATTGTGGTGATACACTTTTCTAATGCCTTATGCTGTTTATTATTTTTGTGGCATGTCTAAAGGAGAAATTGTGTATCGCAACTAATTTAAAAGCTGTATTCTATGGGGTCATAAAATTACTTACGTTAAAACTTTAAAAGAAAAGCTTGGTCGTGATGTGTATTCATAGTTTAAAAAGAGATAAAAGGTCAATTTCCTTTTTATCATAAATAAATTAAATGTAGCTTATTATATCTTTACTTTTCTTTAAAAAAAATAATGTTTTTAACAAACTGTTATTTACCAATATAAGGTTTATTAATTTTGATCTGTTGTTTTAAAATTTGGCTCGATCGACGAACAGAACATACCAAAGGACTGAAAACTAGTAGGCCTATACAAAGAAAAACTATTCCAAATCTAGGGATATTAACAAGAATCAATTTAATGGTACTAAGTTAAAATGACATATTTTAACAAATATAAAGAAATTAAAGCCATATTAACTTAAATTCGAATATAATACGAGAAAGGCTTCAAATATACATTCTTGCACACACATTAAAAAATCTAATTAATCTTGTAGGGCCACTGTTACTCCTTTAAGTTTCGCAAGTCTGCCGGACACAATCAACCGACATATTTATAGTGAAGGAGCGAGAATCCCACAGAACAGAAAGTTTATGCATTTAATGTGCGTAGAACATTCTGGAAACGTAACCAATCTTTCCCAATCAAGGGCTGTGGGTGACGTGCATGGCAGCACGTGTCACCAAAGTTCATTGGTAATGCAAGGGTCAAAAAACCAAAGAGGGATGTAAAGGAAGCATACAACGACTTATTAAAACACTGGCTGGGTGAACACAGCGCAAATGTGCAATGTACCCGTAATAAAAGCAACATTTAAAATACCACTAGGTTGCCTCTTGGAAAAATTTGTATCACTTAAATAAAAATACGTTTTTATTAGCTAAGTGATGTTATTTACTTAGCTATATATAACTGGTAACGGGGACTGTATGTAAAATTGTGACAAAATTTACAACGATCACTAATGCTATTTAATTTCGTCTTTAAATTAACATAAAAATTAAATAGTAAATACATTTCATTTACCCATAAGTGCGCTTTCAAATTTTGATGAGAGAAACGTTTCTCACTATATGGCTCAGTGAGTTTTAGCTACTAAAATGAACACTAAAAAAAAATGGCCATAATAAACCCTTGATTTAGAGAAGAAAAAAAAAGAAAAAAAAAGGATTCAATAGCTCAAGGCTTTAGGCAATAACAAAGTTTTAAAACGTACATGAAATTAATCTCATGGCAGGGATGATTAATCTAAAGTCAATTGAGGCACGAGGCTAGGGGCCCATCGAAATGAAATGCATTTCTTTTTGTTTCGGTGTGGATGGTCTGTTTTTTTTTTGTGTGAGTGGTCTTAAATCCCCTTTTGAAACAATTTTCTGATTGCAAAATGTCACCTGCCTTAGGTCTCCCACATGTTATAATCTGACACTGTCTCCATTGACAGAACCACGATATGACGGAGACGGATTGGTCAACATCTCGATAAAACCCACCACACTTAATTCTTTACCAATGAAGCGTAAAAGAGAATTAGAGAGAGAGAGAAAGAGAGAGAATATGAGAGGTAGGAAATGAAAGAAACTTGAAGAAACAGAGAGAGAGAGAGAGAGAGAGAGAGGGGGGGAGAGAGAGAAAAAGAGAGAGAGAATATCAGAGGTAGGAAATGAAAGAAACTTGAAGAAACAGAGAGAGAGAGAGAGAGAGAGGAAGAGAGAGAAAGAGAGAGAGAGAGAGAGAGAGAGAAGGAGATAATTTTGTTTTTATCAATATATAAAAAAACAAGTGAAATCAACACACGTTGTTGTTTTTAAGAGAGAGAGAAAGAGAGAGAAAATGAGAGAGAGAAAAAGAAAGAAAGAAGAAGAGAAAGAGAGAGAGAGAGAGAGAGAGAGAGGGGGGGAGAGAGAGAAAAAGAGAGAGAGAATATCAGAGGTAGGAAATGAAAGAAACTTGAAGAAACAGAGAGAGAGAGAGAGAGAGAGAGAGGAAGAGAGAGAAAGAGAGAGAGAGAGAGAGACAGAGAAGGAGATAATTTTGTTTTTATCAATTTATAAAAAAACAAGTGAAATCAACACACGTTGTTGTTTTTTCCTCATTGTGTTTAAGATACAAGGCAATCCTGTCGCCTACCTCCAGCACAAAACATCTTGTTATTGTTTGATTTCCAAACAAAGAACATAATATAGGCTCAGATTTTGTAAAACGTAAAACCAAAATTTCGCTATTTCCAGCAAGCTTACCACTGATGCTTATCAAGTACAAGCCACCGAAGGGAGCAGTGAATACACCAGATACTGGATTAAAGTTATTTCCACTGTTAGGTTTAACATTATCGAAGTTTTCTAAAATTTCTTTACTTCCTTCGGAGGGAACTAAATTCCTGTGTGCCTGAAAACCTACAATCGGTCGACAGCATTTTGACTCTGTGGGGAGTTAAAAGAAAAAAAACAACCAAAAAGACATAATATTGTAATAAAATTTCAATTTGAAAAAAAACACAAAAAAAAATCTTATGATTTAAATAGCTGTATTGGCCAGGAATTAACTATTTTATAGTGAAAATATTTTAAAGAATAAAAACAAAAATGGTTTATATATAGATATAAGCAGTGGCGTAGCTAGGGTTAAATGTTTCCCGGTCATGTAAACTCATGGTGTCAACCCCCTCCCCTTCCCCCGACTTCCATGATGGATTTCTTTTAGGTAACATAAATCCACAGTATGACCATGACAAGAACAAAAACAAATTAAATGAATGTCAGGAGGTAATTGTATTGAAGAAGTACACCATTGCTCAACCACATCGTATATGGTCTGAATGTATTCTTTATTTCTCAGAATTTAGATAATTTTTTTTTCCTGACATTATTATATAATGTCATTTCATTTCGAACGCATCAACCTTTGAACTTTTAATAAAGCATGCATTTTGGTTGCTTACACACGTACATGTGTGGACAATTTACGTATATCCTTTAATGAAATTCAGTTAGACCGGGCAGTGTGTACTCTGTAAATAAGATTATTGTTTTCATTTGGTGTCAACCGTCTGAGATGGTGTCAACCGATACCGTCTGCAACACTCGCTCCCCCTTTAGCGACGCCGCTGTATTTTAGGGTGTCTAAAAAGCAAAGTCATAATTTTCATGTGCACCTCCTTAAAAAAAAAAATATATCAGCGAAAAAAATACGCAAAGTCAATACTGCCTCAAAATGCAGTTTTGTATGACGTAACCCATTTGAAGTATCAATCATATTATAACTTTCTGATTGTTCCTAGTCAACAATGTCTTCATGTAAGAAAGTTGTATCCAGATTTACGATTTCAAGAATAGCGTAGAGCAGTGGTTCTTAACCTGGGTTCGATCAAACAACAGGGGTTCGGTGAGTCAGACTCTGGGGTTCGGCGGAGGCCCAAAAGTAATCAGGAAAAAAAATCATATTTTTTATTTTTCCTATTAAGAAGGGTTCAGTGAATGTGCATATGAAACTGGTGGGGTTCAGTACCCCCAGCAAGGTTAAGAACCACTGGCGAAGAGGATGGGCCGACACACAAATGCAATGTTGTAATGCGTTGCTGGACAAATTGGAAGCAGCTGTTATGAAACGTAACGACATTTCTCAAGTGGTCAGGGTCTACACTTTTAGGGCCAAAGCTAATGGCACAATTGTCATAGATGATTACGCCATAAACTAGATCCGCATCTAGACAAAGCATCAGAGGAGTCTGAACCTGGCGTCCAGTGCATCACACAATGTTAATATTGCGAATATACTGAATTTATGACAAGAACTCTTCACGAGTTCAGCCATATGTCGATTTTTATTTGAATCCGTTCTGTAGTTAGGCTTTCGTAACATTTTGTACATGTCCGGGTTGTTAGCCCTACACGCAACCATCTCGTGGACTGCCCCTTAGAGCTCTTTAGGTAGCTGTCTTAGTTTTGGGGTAATGTTCCATAGCCTTCGTGGATCCCTCCACTTCCTACAAGTCAGTCGGTTCTGATTTTAGTCCGACCCAGTTATTTTATTTCCCCGGTACCCACCATATCTGGTTGGCTTCCCCCTGTCCACCAGACGGAAGGCGATTGATAGAAGATCAGCTTCTCCGCACGAGAACAAACATGAACATCAAAAAGTTTTAACACACCCCACTACTCTTTTTTTATGAGCCCAGTTTATAATCATTATACTGACACAACTCCAAAAGTATCTTACTTAACTCCTTAACTGCACCAGATAAATCCAAAACTTGACCGGTAAGATCATCTACCTTTAAATATTAGAATCCAAAAAAAAAAAATCAATTTTGAATTAAGAATTTAGATTATTCAATTTTAAATTTTTAACATTCAAATCAAATTTAAACAAATGATTTTTCAGATAAAAGTTAGATATTAAATATGTATATGTTTTATTTAGAGTGAAATTTGTTTGGAAGAGTCTTTCGTGTCAAGTAGAATTCGCTCCCTAAATAAAATTTTGTTTTAAATTTAACTTTAAGCAAGGAAGCCTACTAAATATATAACAATCATAATGTTTTTCTTGACAAAGCTGAACTCATTACAATTAAAGGGTGCAACCAACAGGAAGATTTTTATTTGATTAATTTTTTAAAATATATATTTTTTACTTTTTAATATTACTTTCAATTTCAGTTTTCAATTTAAAGCCAAAAAAGTGAGCCGTGAATTAACTCTATATTTTATTACTGCATTTATTTTATTTTCTGCTGAACTTTTTCAATGGCATTCTTTTATCTTGTGTTCTCTCTGTTAATAGTACTATGAGTAAGTCTATGGAGGCTAAATATATTTGATAAATGCTACTTTGAGCAATGGATGTTTGCAATTTGTTTTTTCCTTTTAAGTCTTAGTTGTGAAATGCCATATGTGGTTAAAAAAGAGTGTATTATTTTAAATTTTTACATTTATATGAACTGAAATAGTAGTGTGGTCATACCTTTCTAAAGAAATTTAGTAATATTGTACCTTCAATAAGGTGCACAAATTTAAAGCACTCAAGCTCGTAACAGCAAGAAAGTTTTTTAATCACATTGTTTCACATGTGACAATAACAAGTATTTAATAAAAGTATATAAAGATATTTTCTCAATTAGTCATGTGAAACCATATAATTATTTATGTTTCTTTTTAAATATTTCATTTTGCAATATTGATTTGACTGTAAAAATAATACTGCAAACAAGAAACATTTGAAAATAAATGTACTATTAGTAGTTTTTGAATCAAGTGCTGCTTGGCTTATTTACTTGCATACACTCCAAATTCAAATGAAAAATATATTTAACAATATTTTAAAATACCTTTATGTAAAGAGCATGTCTTGTGGAATTGACCTTGTTTAAGGCTTCTCTTAAATCTTCTAGTGGAGATAATCTTTTATTCAGCAGATGGCAACTCATACCAATCTGTACAGCAGGCAAACAAGACAATAAAGAAGAATTAGCAAAAGGAATAACTTAACTTGAAATTATGTGAAAAAATGTTTTTGAATATGATTCTATTAAATATGTAGGATTTTTCTATATAATAGACTCTTTTAAAAAATAAAATAAAATTGTTCAGCTTGATTTTAATTGTTAATTTTTTTTTCATTTTACCTTTTGATAATTTTCAAAGTAGTTCAATGAAAATAATATACATTAAAACAGTAAAATATATATTTTTTTAAATGTGTGATTGTCTTTTTAGCAATCACATATTTAAAAAAAAAATATATGAAACATAGTTGGATTATAGTTTTATTTAAATGTTTAATTGATTTTAAGTTTCAATTAAAAAAAAATTAATTAAGAAAGTTTTTAATTTATTTTTTTTCCATTAATTTATGTTTGATAGAATGGATGAATAAAAAGTTAGATCATTATTAATTAAATCTACACCCTATTTAAAATAAAACTTTTCACCGACGATATTTAACCCTATTGACCTTTTTTCTCTCGTTTTTAAAAGTTGTTTTTTGTAAAAAATTAAATAAATATTTTTAAAGTAAAATTTTTTTTTTAACAAAATCATTTTAAAAAAAAAATGAAAGCAAATGAAATGGTTACTTTATTATTTATTTATTTTACATTATTTTTCAAGGAAATTTATTTGTTTTCAACATATATAAATATAAATTGCTGTTTATTATTATTTTTATTTTTTTTAAACTTAGTTTTCTTATTATTATGCCTTACATATATAAAAATAAATAGATAACATATATTTAAACCGTCTATGTAGTTAAAATGAAATCAAGAAACATATATGTTTTAAAAATTCTAATGAAATATTGTACATTTAACTTAATAATACTGACAAAAATAAAAATTAAATGTTCTACTTCATACCAAATCATTAACTTTATCTTCATTGAGGCTGCACATATTTTCAAACTGCTCTTTGTACTGAGATGACATCTGATTGATTGAGATTTCCAGTTGATTCATTTTATTAGATATTTCATTATACTCTTGTTTTGTACTCTCAACACTCTTTGACAAATCTTGTGTAGAAGCACAGGCATCATCACTACATTTTTTAACAGAGCTGAACTGTTTATTGAGTTCATTCATTGACACATCACGAGACATTTTTTGCTCCTCTAATCTGTTTAATTTGTCATCAAATTTATTTACAGTTTCAAACAAATGATCAACATTTATGGAAATGTTTTTGCTTTTTTTCTCAATCTCTGTAATTGTTCTTTGGGTTTGTTTCTTAAAATTCAAATTTGTTTTATGAGAAGATTCAAATTTTTTGTTTACATTTTCTTGTTGTGTCGAGACATCTTTTAATGTCCTATCAATATTATCTTGTTTTTCTTTAACTTGTTCTGTTGTCTTTTTGAGTGAGAACACTGCTTCCTCTAGTATGGCAAATTTAATGGTCATAATTTTAGATATATTGGCTTCTTTCTCTTCACCTGTAAATGAATAAAAGAGTTCACTCCTACAATTAAGACTTAACTTATATAATAGTGGAAGTATATTGAATGGTTGTTTGAAGTTGGAAGAAGATGTTGCTAATTGTGATGAACTTGAATTATTTGTCATGGAGTATTTAAAATAATAATTTTTGAAAACCTTCATTTTTTAATTTTGCAATTTAATGAAAAAAAAAAAAAATCCTGTACGCTCGTCATTACAAAAATCATGTTTATAAAGCAAGTTTAAATATACATAAATATTTAGAAAACAAAAGAAAAGTTTTAATTGAATGAGATTTGTTTCAAGTAATATCATAAATTAAACCAAAAGCCTTAGTTATTGCTTATTGATAGTCAGATTTTTATTTTAAAAAATTAACAAAACTGACTGGAAAACAATTTGTCTTTCTTGCATATTTATTGTCTAATTTATATAGTGAAAACTTTAAAGACAAGTAATAATATGAAAAATGTATTTAAAAATAAGAACCATACAAAGATAAAAAGAAAATTATGATCACTAACTAGATTTATCTTTTGCAACAATTACGTCTTCTTTTCTCTTTAACGCCATATCTGATTTTTCAGTATCTTCATTTTTACTGACTGTAAGACTTGTAGAATCATGAACGTTTGAGAATGAAGTTTCATTCTGTTCAACCATTTTTTCATTATTATGTAGACCTTGAATAAGATTAAAAAATATTTGTTGTAAATAGAATGTTAATTACAGCAACAACAAAAAATTAATTATTAAAACTCTGAACACGTGTTTAACATACTTATCTGAAAACGAAAATAAGCTTTTTTACTGACAATATTGGTTCAGATTATGACATAATTATTGACATAATAACAATTTAGATTTTTCTTTATCCAGAATGTAATGAAGTAAGTTTTAATAATTAAAGTATGTTTAAATTTTAAAAACATTTAAAGATACATTATGTCCAAAAAATGTAATTGAATATTGAAAAAAGAATTGGTAAATATTGCTGTTTTATAAAAGTTTACCTGAAATTTCCACAGACTTTGCAATAAAACAAGTTATTGATTGCTGAAGCATGTTGGATATCTCCTCAAACGTTGTCTGGTTGATATGTCCAGCACTAACCCATGCGTCTATTCTACTTTGTGCCTTTAATTGTTTTACATGTTATAAAATGATTCAAATATGTCATAATTAATAATATTGAGTGACTCAATGAGTGCCTTGGTAAAACATATATAAAACATTTTTTTTTCAAATCAATGCACTTTTAAAATGTAATTAAAATTATAGCAGCTTTCGTGTTCATTAATTGATGAAATTTTTTTCTAGATATCTATATATATATATGTTGTACTAAAGTTTATATTTGTATATATTTAAATGTTTTAAATTACCTGAATGATACCATCATCTACAGCGTTTTTTATTGTTCTTTGCTCTTCTTTGAGCACCTCAAGTTGCTGATTGATAAACTTAATAAATCTCTGAGTTTGTTGAGCATTGCTTGCCATCTTCAATTCCTTCCAATATGGCTCACTATTTTTTTTTTTTTTTAATGAAATGATATTGATCGGTTAATCTCGTTCGAACAACCAGACTAGCAGGCCTTACCTTACTATTTATCGGTAATATTCTCGAAGTTAAAGAAAGCGTTACAAACAACAGATTCTATAAAGTTAATAAACGACAAGTATAATTTTTAAAACATATACTGAAATCCAACGTTTTGTTCAAATTATTTCATTTGTTAGTGTTTACTTGCCAAAATCACAATTAAGTAATCATAAGGTCATAAGGCATGATAAGACATACACAGAAACCAAATAAAATCGGGAAATTCCAATTTTCATTTTATTCCAAAAACTAAGCCAAAAAGTATATTGCCAATTTTAAAAATAAACAATACTAAACTATTTGAAATGTTGGGGGAAATGAACTGTAAACAGAGATTAGTTGTTTTTTTTTAAAATTTGGTTTGTTTTGCATGCATATTTAAAAATATATATATATTATATTATTGTTTTTATTTTTTTTATTTTTTACGGTGCGTTAACTGTCTTTGTCTGGAATAATTAAACATCAACACGTTGTAGCTGTGTTGAAAAACCTATTACAACTATTTTAATTTTCGATACATTTAAATGAAAAATACAAAGGAAAATAAATTCCTTGTAGTGTCCAATTAAAATTTCAACTTATTTTTCTGTTATTTTTATTACAATTTTTTTTAAAATTTTTAGTAGTTTAAGCTTATTTGCAAGATAAAGTCTCTCTACAGGTTCATCGCTTTCATTCATTTACCAAACTGTGTTGGTAATATGAGGATACAAATATAAAGATGATAATGTAAGCAATGGACACTAACGACATCAAAAGCCGTGTTAGTGTTGGTTGTAGGCTTTTAACATCTTGATAACGAGTTTACCTTAGTACTCGGCTCAGTGGTTCGTAGAACTTTTTCACCGCCAACATAAATGCATCGCAAACGGCCAGTTAAAGTTGGTCGAGCTTAGATCTATGTAAAGTATAACGAATCAGTTCGCAGACTCCTTGCCAAATTAACCAGCCTTCAGCTAAGCATCAGTATTGATTGATCAAAATTTAAATTTTCAGATTTCAGAGAAAAAAATTGATTTTTGCTCTAAACTGCTCTTCAAAATGTTTCACGTGATCCAGTTTAATAAATATGAAGTGGTGGCGAGTACACTTCGAAAGGATCAACAAACGATTCATTTTATGGATACCGTAAGCTTAACCAACCAGAGGAGCCAGAGACATGGCAGATTTAATAAATGTTTTTTATGAGTTTGAGCTACGAAATGATTTTTTCAACAGACTTGACTGTTGTTATGAGTGTTGGCGAAATGCGCGCAGTTACAAAATAAAAATTACCACCTCCTCCCCGTTTACTAAAAAAAAAAAAAATAAAAATAAAACACCCGTATTTCAATTCATTTATAGAAAATTAAAGACAAA